ATGGATTGGCTCGCGAGGATTTGAGCAACGCGTCAATGACTTCACCGGGCGTCTAGGTGTTATTGTTGGCGCCTGGGCGTTGCCGCTGGGGTTTACCGCGGGCCAGCATGACTAACAAGTGCAAGCGGCGCGTTGGCAGGCATTCCCCTTCCTGGAGACATCTGTCTGGTTTCGCAGTGACCTCCTTTCGCACTGCTCTTGTTTCTTTGCCTCCAGTTTGCGGTTGTATGTTTGTAGCCCTTGGCTGAGCTCCATCAGACGGCTATAATTCCGCTGCCCTCGCTCGATGTATGACCGCCCCCGCCGCAATGCTCGCGAACTTTCCGGCGGGCTGATCATTTGTGGTTTTGTCTGCAGTTGGACTGCGGGCGGGGCGCCGGCGCCGCTTATGCAGCGTTCCATTGTTCGTTTTCCTCTGAGGGCATCCGCAGTGGATTTTGCGCGCGTTTGTTTTTTTGTTGAGCAGATCAGTTCAATAAGATCTGTCGTTGTTCGGCACGAGACCACTAAAATGAAATGTGAGAAGGAAAAAATATCCACGCGTCCCTTCATAGCCCTTGGCGAAGCCAAGCCTTCATCCCAGCCGTGCGCGCCCCTGGTGGGGGCCACCGCGTCTGGCACGTTGGCCAGTTCGTCTTCTGCGCCCGCTGTGGTGCGCACTCCAGCGAGAACGCGCAGTTCCTGGCGCCCCCTTGCCACGGTGGAGTGCCCCCCCAAGACGCGCACTCGTTTAGACCTCCTCTGGGAGGGCCTGCACCGTCGCACTGGGCAGCCGCTGCTGTCGGCTGTGCAGGGACAGCTGAAGCCTCGCCCTTTCGGCGAATATGTCCTCGACGCCACCAACGGGGGCCTGGTCGCGGTCGAGGGCGAATGCGCCGTGTCGGGCTAGCCTGTTGCCCATTCCTCGCGCGGCACTCCTGCGTGCGATGTGCCCGTTGCTTTTCAAGTCAGGCTCTCGCCTGAGTCTGTCTGCGTAGCCAGCCCCGCTTGCACGCTTTCAGCTGCGCCTGGATAGACTCCTCCTACTCCTCCTGTTCCTCCCTCCTCCGTCCCTTTTCCCCCGTCTCTTCTCCGCATCCTCCTTCTCCTCTTCTTTTTCCTCGTCGTCGTCGTCGTCGTCCTCCTCCTCCTCAAAATCCTCATGTACCTCCTCCCTCTTCGGGGGTTTTCCCGCGCGCCCCCAGTTTGTCCGCGCCCCAGCCCCCTCGGGGTTGTCGTTTGAGTGTGCTTGGCGCCAGGTGTGCCTAGCTCTTCGCGCCGCTCTGAAGACCCTGGACCCTCTGGACGCCACTTGGGCCGCTTTAGAGAATTGGGCGGGGTGCCGCCTGGCCCTCCCAGGACATCATAGGGACCCTTTGGGTCAGGGACACATGTGGCAGCGCCCGACCCTCTTCGTCCTCCTCCCTCCACCTCCCTCGTTTTTCCATTGTTCTCCTTCCCCTGCTCCTCCTCTGTCTCCCTCCTCGTCCTCTCCCCCCTTCCTCGTCATCCTATCCCTCCTTCTTTCCTCCTCCTCGAGGATCGAAGGATCGAGTTTTTGTTGGCATCTCTGGGCCTTTTTTGAGACCTCTTGGGGCGCTTTGCGTGGACACGGCTGGGCGCAGCTCGAAACATTGTTTCCGCTGGCGTCCAGGAGAGGTACGGGATTTGATATGAAGATAGGTGTTCCTGTTGCTCCTCTTCTGATCCTCCTGTCCATCATCCTCGCCCCTCCGACAGTGATCCTCCCCCCTCCCCCTTCCCCCTGCCTCCTTTTTGCCTCTTTGCTTCTCCTGTTTTTTTCTGGCCCGTCCAGCTGTAAGGATCCCTCCCCCTCTTCCATCGCCTTTCTCCACCTCCTGATTCCTTCTCATCATTCCCCGGCCTTTTGCCTCCGTCCTCTGGACTTCCTCGTCGTCCTTATTCCTCCTCCTTCTGCCTCGCTTTTTCTCTTTCCTTCTCCTCTCGCTTTTCCCTCCTCCCCCCCCCACCCTCCCAGCCTAAACCTTCTACCGTCTCTTCTCCCCGCCTCGTCGTCGCGATGTCTCCGGCAGCCTCTTCCGTGCCGGAGCTCTCCGCCGCCGCCGCGCGGCGCTTCGTCGGCGCGTCCGCGAGGAAGCGGGGGGTATCCAGCTCGTCAGCGTCGGCGTCGGCGTTGACCTCCCCTTCCCTTTTTCCTGGGCGTTCCTTGCCTTCATTTGAATACGAGGGGGCCCGCTCAATCTCGACACCACGCGGTTGCTGACTCGGCAGGGCGATCCGGATGAAGTTCATCGGGTCCTGATTGAGGCGTCCAACCTCCCAGAAGCGCCCACGAGCTCAGGCACGCAGAAGCGCTGATAGCCCGCCACGAACAAAATCGGCACTTTGAAGCGCTCTAACGCGAAGGCCAAAGCCAAACGTTCGACTGGGGCACATTCACACGTCGACCGCCTGCAGCAAGGATCCCCTGCAGCAAGGGTAGAACAAACTCCTGCAGCAAGGATCCCTCTCCAGGGCCCATGTTGATCGGATCGATCCGATCCAGTATCGGCGTTGATCAGCCTGGCTTGTTTCGGTTACGATGTTCCGACGGTCCTCAACGGCACGATGCTTGCATGGCGTTCTTGTGCATTCTGGCGCAGCCGAATCGTGCCGCTTCCGACTTCGTGTGGATGCAGCCCGATTTTGCGCACATTCTGTTTTGATCTGATTTCCCGACTCGATGTTTATTGATCGTGCCCCCTTGTCCATCAGCCTGCAAGTTGCGATCGCGGCCTTTCTGCGCCGAGGCTCCCCGTTGGGGACATCTCCAAAGCAGTCACCACTGGCCAGGATCCAACCATGCACTGGATGAGACGCCATGAGCCCGATCGGGCCAGGGCCGTCCTCTGCCGCTTCCTCTTGCAGGGAACCGAGTGGCCTTCGGGGAGGAGTGGGCCAGTCCACCGGGGTGTTGCCTCTCAACCGATAGCACGGACTGTGCTCGTGCTGAGCGGCCGCCTGGTGGCATCAAGTCTCGGGCCCTGTCAGACTCCGGACCTCTACTATGCTACAGACTCGGACGACGCAGAACACACGACGCCTCGTTTTATTTTTCGCTGGCTGCCGAGGACGAGACCATTGTACTCCAGAGGTGGCCGCGTTCTGCAGAGCCGCCAGGTCGAATCAGCTCTGACCGGCAAAGCGAATGTCTTCAACTCTGAGTCACCCGAGGGGCGCGGGGATAGTTGTTCTTCGCGCATGGCGGCTTGAGTTGGCGAGGCGCCCTTCTCCAGGGCGGCGGCACGAGGGCCCGAATGTAACCGCGCATCGCCGAACCTAGATACCCAGATCAGCACCATCCGACTCCAGCCCCACGCGCCTTTCCAAGTGTTTGGTGGCCTGGCCTCAGAGAGCAGCAGCCATATCATCTAGAACATCACAGACAGTGCCGCAAAGGAAGCATCGCGAGCCTCAAGACTCAAGCCCTGGATCCCGTGCTCTTGGGTGGCCTCCGAAGTTCCCAAAAATGGTCGCTGTGACGAGACCACTCGTCTGCTGCGCTGTGAAACAACTCGCATCAAACCACACAGCAGTGACCGCTTCTGTCAGGCCTTCGTCGCGCGCCCATCGAATTTTCGGGAGGCTCTTGCGTGGGCACAAACGACCAGCCTCGTCAGCTACACGGATGAAGGGTGTGGAGCCGATCGCCAAACCGTCAATCAATCGTGTCCAAGTTGCCGTATCAATTCTATTGCAGGCTCGTGACGGCCCGCAATTGTGCAGGTAACAAAAACAGGTGATGCTGCGTCCTTTTCCTCTACGTACTTGTTATCGACCGCCCTGCTTGCCTGCGCAACTGTCCAGTCGCTTACGTGGAGAAGCAAGATACTTGGTGTCCATAGGTATCGTGAGGGATCCTTCGCATGGAAACCATGATCTGTGTGGCGCGACTCGACTCAAGTGATTTCCTCCACAACTTAGCACTCTGCACGAGCGCCTGCGTCGTTTTGCTAAGTCTCGTCTTGGTCTTGGGTTTCGCCCGTTGTGCTACAACCTAAAGCCATTGCGGTGCCCCCAGCTTGGAGCAGACTGCCGCAATTCATTGAGCATCTCTTAAATTTTAACGCTGAAGTTTTCGACGCACCCCGCTTTCCAGACATATTATCGGCCCGAGCGGCAATTGACGCTTTACAGGCCAGGTGAATTGCATCAGTACGACTTTTGCACCGCACTACAGTCTCGCCTGTATATATATATATATATATATATGTCCACGGATTGGTCCCAAGGCTCACTTTGCGAGCTTGGTCTAGCACTGGACGGAAACATCTTGGCGCCAATTAGACGGGGGAGGTGAGGGGAGGGGGAGGCGAAGGCGGAGGAGGAGCATGAGAAGGAGCGGGAGTAGATCAAACGGGGTCGGTGACGAGACGTCGAGGAGGAGGACGAGTCGGAGGAGGGGGAGGAGAAATGTGTGCACAGTATGGGCTACGTAAAAGGACGAGGGCGAGTAGTATAAGGAGAAGGTCGAGGCGGTGGCGACGACGACGAGGAATTGGAAGGGACAGAGGAGGAGGAGGAAAATGAGGAGAAAGATGAGAGATAGGAGAAAGACGAGGTTGCGGAGGACAAGAATGACACCGGAACAACAACGATGAGACGGAACGGAAATTCGAGGGACGGCGGCGGCGATGACGATGAGGGGAAGGCCGAGGAGGAGCAAAAGGACGTGGACACGGATCATGATTTGGGTGAGGATGAGGACGGGCTCGAGGATGGTGGCGAGGAGGACAAGAGAAGGACGGGGAGGGGGGAGGAGAACGAGCAGCACCACGACAAGGAGGACAAGGACGATGAGGAAGAGCAGAAGGGGAAGAATGGAAGAGCACTCGCGAGGGACGACGACAAACAGAGCCCCCGACGGCTCGATGTTCGTTCTACGTAGCTTGACTGCTTCTGGTCCCTGGAAGCCTCGACTCCTCCCAATTGCCCGCGAACGACCTCTTGACTCCAAATTTGGCCAACACATTCCTGGTACGATTTTGTTCGAATCGCCATAGGGTGGGAAGAGGGGGGGAGTCCACGAAGACCATGTGATCCAAGAAGAGGCGCGCGGGCATCTTCGCGCGCACGGTCGTTTGGAAGGCCGCCAAGCTGATCGCCACAGGAATCGCACCGTCGGTCCTGCATGGTGGGCGAGTCAGCGGCATCTCGGACGACGCCCTCAAGGCTATCCGTATTCAGGCCGGTGTTGTGGTTGGCGTGAAAGCCACGGCGAGCCTCATTCTGACGTTGGTGGTGCAAGATAATCCTCAGCTATCCTGCAGCGGGCTTGGATGTTTTAACCGTAGTCTACTCGAGAGCTCGCGATGGAGCAATGCATTTGGCCCAATTGCGGCCACGTGGCTTACCCTGCGCCGTATTCAGTGGGACATGACATCGGCTCACGACTAACGATGGCAGGCGCGCCACGTTCAGCGGCGCCACTCTGAGGCTAATGGCGAGACGCTCTGGTACCGTGCCATGCGCGCCGCCATCAAGGGCAAAGTCGGCATCAACGACCCTACGCAGAAGGGAGGCCTCATATGCGTACAGGGTGGAAGCATGTGGCCCAGGGTTAGGCGCTTTGAGCGAGGGCTGGTGGCCAGCCCCGAGTGTGCCTGCTGCGGCGATGCTCGCGAGACGTCGGGCCATCGATGGTACGACTGCGACGGCATCAAGCAGCTGAACCCGGGTGAGCCCCCAGAGCAGGAGCCCATTCTGGAGCAGTTGGCCAAGACGGGGAAGATCTTGCGCAACATGGGCATGCAGTGCGCGGGCGAGCCGGACTGGGACACGCTGGAACTTGCATATGGTCTTCTCTTGGCGCTGACGATTTCGGAGGCCCCGCCATTGCCGGCGGCTCAGTGTTGGACATGGGTCGATTGCTCTGTCCCTTGGAAGGACACCGTGCACATCGCAGGAGGCTCCAAGTTCAATCGAGTGCCCGAGCTGATGTACTGTAGCTGGTCCGTCGTCCAGCCCAGCGACGAAGGCATCCCAGTGCGGGCGCAGTTTGGCATTGTCACGGGGCACGCGCCTACCGTGCCACGGGCAGAACGCTGCGCTGCCCTCAGAGGCCTGCGGGCAGTGGAGCAGGTGGACCACGTGGTAACGAATCATGAGCCGTTGGCGGTGGAGGGATGCCGATGGAGCGAGGGGGATGCAAGTGCCCGCGGCACCCACGCCGACATTTGGCGTGCCATGCGCCGCACGGTACAGCAGCGGAACTTCTCGCAGGAGGCCCCGAGATTTGATTGGGTCTCCTCGCGCAAGACGGCGGAGGAGGCCGAGCAGATGGGCCTTAAGCTTGACCACTGGTTAGGCAATGCATGAGCGTACAATTTCGCCACCATCGCCGTCCGCTGCGCGAAGCCGAGCGCGTCGCTGGAGAGGCGTATGGAGTACAAGTTGGACCTGGCCACAAAGACGGCCAAGTATATTGCCGGGGCCGCGTGCCGAGTCGAGCTGACGGCAGCTTGGGAGCCGCCGTAACCCGACCCTCGCGTGCAGCCAGGGCCCAAGGCAGCGCCCCGGCTCGTGGTAATCGACCACGCGAACGTCGAGTGTGTGAAGGGGGGCAGCGGCGCGGACAAGACCAAGCTCGGGGTCTTGTGCCTGGACTGCAACCGGCGGGCCTTCACGGGCCACGCGAGGCGGAAGCTGGACGCGACCCCTTTCAAGCCCGCGCCCATGACGAGGGCGCGAACGAGGCAGCTGGCTTTCGCCACATCTACGGGCGACGCTCTCGCGCAGATAATTGAGAACCCGGCCAGTTTTGGCCTGGGCGCAAAGCACGACGCCGAGCTGGGGCCAACGATCGTGGCTCTTGGACCGACTGCTGCCGTCGCGGACTCGTTGCGTCAAGAGTCAAGACGGCGTCGCGGACTCGGAGCGCCAGTTTGGCTCGCAGCCGAGCGATGCGGCGGATGGGCCAGCACACCGCTTTCAGACGAATCGTGGAAAGCCCCCCCTGAGCGCCCTTAGGGGGGGGGGGGGGCCGGGACACGTCCGCAGCCGCAGGAGGAGGCTGCGTGCGCGGGCACCCAGACGAGCTAAGGGTTGAACCCCACGACTACGACGACAGCCTCGATTTTGACGAGGTTGATTCCTCTCGCTTCGCGGGGTGCACGTCCGGAGCACGTACAGTCACGTCGTCGCGGGGCCTCTTGGGAGCCTCTTGGGGGCCTCCTGGAGGCCTCCTGGGAGTTTCGTTTGGCCTCTTGGGGACTTCTTTGGGGCCTTTCCCCCCTGCCTCCTTTTCATACACCCCCCCCATCTTCCCTTCCAGCGCCGGCTCTAATCATGGGCGCCGCAGTGACCAACTTCCACCTGGCTGGCGCTGCGCCGCAGTTCGCCCAGAGGGGGGGAAATAACATTACACTTCAGTCGTTGTGTGGCCTTTGGGGGGCTTTTTGGAGGCGTTTTGGGGGCATCTGAGGGACTTCTTGGAGGCTTCTTGGGGGCCTCGTGGAGCCTCTTGGGGGCGTCTTGGGCCGTCTCGGGTGCATTGAAGCCCTCTTGGGGTCCTCTTGGGCCGTCTTCGCGGCCTCTTGGACCGTCTTGGGGGCCTCTGTGGGCCGTTTTGGGGCCCTCTTGGGCCGTCTTGGGGCCCTCTTGGGGGCTTTTGGGGCTGTCATGGGGCGATTATGGAAACTGCTTGGGCCGTCATGGATTTTTGTGAGTGGAACAAGGCGAGAACGCTAAAGTATTGTAAAAACTATAGGAACATCAATAATTTCGGCCTCTAGAGGCGCAGTTGTGGGCGCTTTGGGGGCCCTGTTGGGCCGTCCTTGGGGCGTTGGGGGTCCTCTTTGGGCCGTCTTGGGGGCCTCATGGGCCCCTGTTGGGGATATCTTGGGCCGTCTGTGGGCCGTCTTGGGCCGTCTTGGGGCCATCTTGGTCCATATTGAGGCCCTTTTGGGGTCCCCAGAGGCACAAGAGGCCGAATTTGTTAATTTGTCATGCGTTTTTGTAGGCTTGGGGCCCCAGAAGGAGGGCCGATCATTTTGGTCCGTTCCTGTGGCGCGGCTCCCAGGGGGGTTGGGGGGAGACATCATAATGGAACACAGTGCAATATGTAGCAATTATGCAATCATTCGATACATTGGATACGGTGCATTAAGGCGTTCGCCGAAAAACGCTGCCACTCAGCACGTCACCTCCGGACGTGGATTCCTTTCGCTTCGCGGGGTGCACGTCCGGAACACGTACAGTGAAGTCGTTTTGGGGGTTCTCGGGAGTTTCGTGGGGGCGTCTTGGGCCGTCTTGGGGACGTCTTTGGGGCCTCTCCCCCCCCTCCTTTTTCACACTCCCTCCCCATATCCCCTTCCAGCGCCAGCACTAATCATGGGCGCCGCCGTGACCAAGTTCCACCTGACTGGCGCTGCGCCGCGCTTCGCCCAGGGGGGGGAAATGACAGTACACTCCAGTCGCTGTGTGGGCTTTGGGGTGCTTCTATTGGGCCTTTTGGAGGCTTTCTGGAAACTTCTTGGAGGCCTTTTGGGGGCTCCTTAGGGCCCCTTGGGGGCGTCTTGGGGGCATCTTGGGGCCTGTTGGGGGCGTCCTGGGCCGTCTTGGGGCGTGTTTCTGCCGTTTCGCCTCGTCGGAGGCCGTCTTGGGAGCCTCTCGCGGCCGCCTTGGGGCCCTCTGGGGGTCCTCTTGGGCCGTCTTAGGGGCCTCTTGCGTCTTGGGGGCCTCTTTGGGCCGTCTTGGGGCCCTCTTGGGCCGTCTCGGGGCCCTCTTGGGGACTTTTTGGGTTGTTCTGGGGCGATTCTGGAAGTTGTTGGGGCCGCAGCGGCGAGAACGCTGAAATATCGCCAGCGCCATAGGAAAATCAATGATTTCGGCATATGGAGGCGCAGTTGTGGGCGCTATTGGGGCCCTCTTGGGCCGTCATTCGGGCTTTTGGGGCCCTCTTGGGACCATCTTGAGCCGCCTTGGCGCCCTCGTGGCCCCCCAAGAGGCCCAAGAGGCCGAATTTGTTGATTTCCCAAGGAGTTTTTGAATGTTTTTAGGGCCCCCAAAGGGGGCGACCAGTTTGGTACGGCAGTGTGGCGCGGCTCCCAGGGGGGGGTAGGAGGGGAGACATACTAATGTAGCACTAGACAATATGTTGCAATTATGGAATCTTTGGATACATTGGATACGTTGCATTAAGGGTTTCGCCGAAAAGCGCTGCCGCTCAGCACGTCACCTCCGGACGTGGATTCCTCTCGCTTCGCGCGGTGCACTTCCGGAGCACGTACAGTCACGTCGTCGCGGGGCCTATTGGGAGCCTCTTGGGGGCCTCCTGGAGGCCTCATGGGAGTTTCTTTGAGCCTCTTTGTGGTTTTTGGGGGGCCTTTCCCCCCTCCCTCCTTTTCATACTCCCTCCCCATATTTCCTTCCAGCGCCGGCTCTAATCATGGGCGCCGCAGTGACCAATTTCCACCTGGCTGGCGCTGCGCCGCACTTCGCCCAGAGGGGGGAACATAACATTACACTCCAGTCGCTGTGTGGCCTTTGAGTTTTTTTGTTGCCTTCTGGAGGCTTCTGGGAGACTTTTGGGGGGCGTCTTGGGGCCTCTTGGGGGCGTCTTGGGCCGTCTTGGGGCGCTTTTGCGCCGTTTCGCCCCCTCGGAGGCTGTCTTGGGGGCCCCTCGCGGCCGCATTGGAACCCTCTTGGGGTCCTTTTGGGCCGTCTTCGCGGCATCTTGGATCGTCTTGGGGGCCTATTTGGGCAATTCTGGGGCCCTCTTGGGCCGTCTTGGGGCCCTCTTGGGTTTTTTTTTGGGTGTTCTGGGGCGATCATGGGAGCTGCTTGGGCCGTCATGGATTTGTGAAAGTCGAAAAAGACGAGAAAGCTAAGATACCGCAGAAACCATAGGAAAATCAATGATTCTGGCCTCTGGAGGCGCAGTTGTGGGCGCTCTTGAGGCCCTGTTGGGCCGTCCTTGGGGCGTTGGGGGCCCTCTTGGGGCCGTTTTCGGGGCCTCATGTGCCCTCGTTGGGAATATCTTGGGCCGTCTTGGGGCCGTCTTGGGACGTTTTGGGGCCATGTTGGGTTATCTTGAAGCCCTCTTGGAGCCCCAAGAGGCCCAATAGGCAGAATATGTTAATTGTTTCTAGGTTATTGTAGGTTTTTTCGGGCCCCAGAAGGGGGCGATCAGTTTGGTACGGCGCTGTGGCGCGGCTTCCAGGGTGGTTAGGGGAGGAGATATGATAACGTAATACAATACGACATGCTGCAAGGATGGAATCTTTGGATACATTGGATACGTTGCATGAAGGCGTTTGCCGAAAAACGCTGCCGCTCAGCACGTCACCTCCGGACGTGTATTCCTCACGCTTCGCGGGGTGCACCTCCGGAGCACGTGCAGTCACGTCGTCGCGGGGCCTCTCGGGAGCCTCTTGGGAGCCTCCTGGAGGCCTCCTGGGAGTTTCTTTGGGCCTCTTGGGGGCTTTGGGGGGGCCTCTCCCCCCTCTCCTTTTCATACTCCCTCCCCATATTTCCTTCCAGCGCCGGCTCTAATCATGGGCGCCGGCGTGACCAACTTCCACCTGGCTGGCGCTGCGCCGCAGTTCGCCCAGGTTGGAAACATGACATTGCACTCCAGTCGCTGTGTGGCCTTTGGGGGGCGTCGACCATTTCGCGATTTTTCCTGCGTGCACGCTCACGCTCGCCAGCGGCACGCTGGCTAGGAGGAGGCAGGGGTCCCAGGCAAAGACTGCCAACGCCCTTCGCGCCTCGACTGGCCTGCGCATGAAACCCACATATTCTGCATATTGTTATGGGTCCGCGCTGCACGATCTCGTTCCCACTTTAACGAAACCCAAACCTCCCACCTTCCCGCCCTTCGCATTAGCGCGCTGGGCGGCCTCGTCCTGAGGAGGGCCCCGGCCACGAGCTGAACCGGAGAAGGAAGAGGGAGGGAAGGAAGACACATTGGGGAGGGAAGGTGCTGCGTTATTTTGCGTCGGCGGCCTTCCATCCTCGGACTCTTGTGGACGCTGCTGGCCGCGAATCGCTGCCTCGACCGCAGGCCTGCGCCACCTGCCGCATTCGCCTCAGGCGGCCGATCGGCCTGCTTCTCACGTTGCCTCACGCTGCGCGCCACGCTGGCCAATTGGGGTAAGAGCTTGGGCTGCTTCACCGTCTGCTGTCCCGGCCGCGTGGCCGAGAAAACTCTCTTACCTGTCTCTGTGGCCGGCTGCTTCTGTTCGCCTCCATAATCTCGAGGCCCTCCGGGCATGCTTGCCGAGGCTGTTGCTGCGACCGCGGTTGCTGCAGCTCCCAATCCAATGCTCGCACTTCCTGCCGATTCAGTGGCACCGCTGGTGAGGCCCGCGGTCTCCAGGTCATGGCAGTTTTGCGGTTGTCCTGCTTCCTGCAGGCCAAAGAAATCCGCCGACCCCTTTGGGATCATCGGCGTGTGAAATGCTTCCCCCTCCCCAAACCCCTCCCTCCGGAGCCCGGTCCGGTCGATTTGGAGGGGGGGGCCCGCCCAGCCCGAGCTCATAAGGGGTTCAGGCCCTTCCTGGGCCCCTCTTAAAGGTCCACGACAGCTTCTGGGGCCGCCCAAAAGGCCCCCAAAACGGTCCAAAAGGGCCCCGAGACGCCGAAAGATCGTTCCAAGACGCCTAACATTGGCCGAAAAATCGTTCCAAGACGCCTAACATGGCCCGAAAACAGCCCAAGAGGCCGCCAAGACGTTCCAAGAGGCCTCCCAGGAAGCCTCCAAGAGGCCAGAACCTTCGAACTCCTTTAGGAAAACGTGCATTTTTAGCACATGCGATTTTCCAGCGCGGAAGCCTTGTTCAAGATGCCTCCAAGACCGCCCTAAGACGGGCCCATAGGCTCCCCAAAATCCCCTCACACGGCACAAGAGGCGCCCAAAACGACCCAAAAGGGCTCCAAGACGGCCCCAAGAGGGGCCCGAAAGGGGGACCACGAAACGAACGCCAGCCGCCCGCCCCTAGAGGCTCCCAGGAAGCCACATGAGGCTCTAAACACGCGTCCAGACGCCC